AGGAAGGCGGCGGGGGGGCCCTTCTCCGGTTGCTCGGCGTTGGTACGGTGACTGTGATCCATGGATCAGGGACGGTGGTCCCTTTGGTGAGCCTTCCTTGTACGGTCGCATGGCGGGGCTGGTGTGCTGTCGGAGGTCAGCTTGGGCGGCCGGCGGACCACCGGCGGGTTCACGCCACCCGGCGGCTTACGGTGCCATTTTGTCCGATGCTCACTGTCCCATCTAGGTGCGCTCAAATCTCGCTGGATTTGGTCATGTTGGCTAGCTAGTTGGTCACCGATGTATGGGCGGAGCAGGTGGTGAGGATTCAGATCGGGATAATTCCCTGGTTCGCTTCGGCCGGCCACAATGACAACGACGCCTGTGGGCGTCGGTTTTCTTCTTGGAGTCGGCGTTCGGGTATGCCTTACTTCTTCCTACCTCACTGCTTCTTGGGTGAAAACCCTAACTGCGGTGGCGGCGACGACGCTCAAGGTATCGTCATGAGAGCTTTGTGATAGTGGGCACCATATGGGTTTGTTGGCAAATGCAGATGGTGTGCCCCTTTTCCTCCAGAGGGTATCTGCGCCAGGGGAAACCGTAGATCTAGGTCTCCTGGGTCGGATGATGACGGTGACTCTGGTGTCGTTCTCCCTCCTGGAGGCATTGTTTTGGAGCAGATTCTTACTGGATGGGCCGTAAGGTGGAGCGGTATTGCATCTACCTCCTCGAAGACGGCGGGTCTCGATGGCGTGGCGCAGTGGAGTCTCGGCATTGGACACGGCTTGATGGACGCATGCAGACTGGCGGCGTTGTCTGGTATCGTGGTGGTGTCAATGACAGTTGGTCCTAGCAAGTTCAATGTGAGGATGCCTCCAGAAGATGGGACGGTCGAAGATGGCGGCATAGGATCCTAGAGTGTGTGCCTGCGGTGTGTGTTGTGGGTCTGCTAGACCGATTGGTGCTCTTCGCTCACAGCCACGGTGACTTCATGAGGCCACCGAATTAGATGGTGTGTGTTGGTACGGTCAAGGCACATCGTCAAACATGCATGTGTAGCGACATAAATCGCCAGAAAGGTGGCTTTGGACTCATCCTTGTATTTATTTTGCCAGTCTTCGTTGCATAATTTAATAAAGATGGATGTATACATTGTCCGATGTAGAGGCTAGGGGTTATCCACATTTTTGGAAGAAAAAAAAGAATGCTGAATATGTTATACACTTCAGTTGTACAAAAGTTATTTTAGGATGTAGATAAAAAATACTACCTCCGTTTCAGTTTACAAGACGTGCCCGTACCCCTAGGTTGCCGATTTTATCACCGTAATATAAACTATGTAACACAAAAATTATACTGTTTGAAAATAGAACATCTGAAGTTTATAATGGTATGTTTTTTGTAATATATAACTTCTATTTAGATTGGTTAAATTGATGACCTAGAAGTACACGCGCGCCTTGTAAACTGGGAGAGAGGGAGTATATGCATGCTTGACAAATCCGTATGTGCTAGTTAAGATAAATTTTGAGTAGGTAGCGCGTATGGGTTAATGGAATCCAAAAATATGTTGATTAAACCATGGATGTAGGAGTATAACACGTGAACTTTCTGAAATTAATTGAAAAATATGGCAATTTATTTCTTGTATAGAAAAGAAACTTATGAATTATATTGTACTTGCCTCTTTTTTGCATGGGACAAAAATGGTAAAAAATAAACAAGGTTTTTCAAGTTCACGTGCTAACATGCCCTATATACTCATAAAAGATGACAAAATATTGTTCATGTTGATATTTGTAAACGAACTGTGGTGAAGAGGCATTCAATCCCCATCATCATGTAAGGCAACGCAGACAAGTTACCATTCTAATGGGAGAATTCCACACTGTTTGATAAAAACATGGCCACTCATCCTATGAGCAGCAAATAGCTAAGCAAGTGTGTGCATAAGGCTAGCAAAATAAATGGCATGATAAAGTTACGAACTAGGCCTTCGCTCTTGCCTCCTCCTCAGTTAGGGTTTTCTTGCCTCTTGTTGGCGCCGCCGCCAGTCCGTCTCCTCTCCTATGGTCCTTAGATCATGGGGGCCCGATAGATCCTGGCCCTTGCCGGCGGGAGGGCTTCGTTTTTAAGTGTTTCTTGGAGTTTTGTTAGGGTTTGTGCCATACTCAGGAAGATGGGGCGGAGGCGGCTTCTTAAAGATGGAATAAGGTCCTTCCCGCCTACCCCACGTCCCGACGATGTTTCTAACATCGCCGGAGGGCGTGTGGAGGTGTGTCTCCAACGGTTCTCGTGGGATTCGGTCGGCATTTGTCTTCGATGGATCCTCTTGGATTCGGTCTTCATTCATCTATGTGTCTGTAGGTTGGATCTTTTCGATCTAGGATCCTCTTCATCGGTGGCGGTTGTTGTTGTGATGTGCTGGTCCTATGGAGCCTTAGCACGACGACTTCCCGACTGACTACTACAACAATGTTTGCCCGGTTTCGATGAGGGAGGGGCGATGACGACGGTGCATCTTCGGCTCGCTCCAGTGCTTGTAGTCGTCGCTAGGTGGTCTACGGATCTGGATGTAATTTTTACTTCTGATGTTCTTTGTACTACCTTGACAATTGATGAATAAATTGAAAGTTTTCTCGTGAAAAAATACATAAATGGCATGACATCTTACATTCTTAAGAAGTTGATGCCCATTACTATCAATTTTTTCAACATGTACACTGTCCACATCAGCAAGTAGGTCCCATGTGCAAACCATTTCTCTCCTCTCAATAATTAACTCAAGTAAAAATCTTCCTATAATAATTGCTACCGTGCCTCATCCCTGCACGACGCCAAGGCTCCCGAATCCAACGCATCGCTCGCTGCCATGTTGATGGGTGTCACGGAGTCCGCTATACGTCGTCATAGAGGCCGGCATGTGTGGAGTAGTCCGCCTCTTCTTCTCATCACCCTCCACAGGCGCCTCTACCCCAACGCCTTCCGCCAAGCTAGGACACACAAGTGAGCTCATATTTTCAATCTATTATTTCCACTATGTTGCCGATTATTGGGGCAAGCTGCCTTCTCCCCAGCTAGGTAACATTTGATTCGTTTGGCCATTTTGACTTTGCAGTTTGGTTGATTCAACTATAAGAAGAAGGCAGGATCGATATGTGGATTCACAAGAGATGTCGTTGTATGGTTGTCCAGTGATAACAGTGGTGCATTTTTTCCTAATCAAAAGGAAATAAAAAATCATGACGTGTATGATGTGATTAAGACCACTAAGATTCTCGAGATCTTTTTGTAGTTTGCACAACTAATAAACTACAACAATGAAATTTACGAAGTCATCGTAAATTTCAAGATGATATGCTGGCTCAATCTTTCGGAGGTGCTCATAGGGATAGGGTGTGCGTGTGTGTGTTCATAGGGGTGAGTGTATGCGCGTGTATATGAGCGCTTGTGTGTGTACTGTGTTAAAAAAAACTACAACAATGAAATGGGTCACTATTCTGAATTATTCCTTTTACAAAGTGTTACTATATTGAGTAATTTGGATCTTGACATATTATTCATTTTATATGGCCATTTTAACTATGTTCAAAAATAGACCATGAAGGACGATTCATGCAGGAAGCCAGGAACTATTCCAGCTCTTGGGCTTTCCAGTTTATTTTTCTTTTAAATTGTTTAAATCATCTGCCGGTGATGCATGTTAGAAAACAAATACAGCAGTCACTGTTTTAAATAAAATTTGGCATATAACTGATTTCAATTGTTATTATCTTCGTGACAACAAAATCTCGCAACAACGTGCAGGGTGTCACTAGTTTATAGAGTTTGGACCCCACATGAACATAATCAACACATCTAGTCGAGAACAAAGAAATCTCTTAAACCATCACTGATAAGTATCTGTCAACATATGGTTCATAGTAAGATCCAAATGTCATAGATGTTTCCATAGACTATAGAACCGGTTGTAAAAATTCATAAATATGTCGTATATAGATAGATGGTTCAAACGATCAGCTGCGATGTCGTTTTGAATTATTTATAATGATCTCATATGTTGTAGGAAATATCTTCAATGAGACAAGCTCCATCTCAATAAATTTGATTACACAACATGCATGATACACTTATGTCATACACACAAACATAACTTGAAATCTAAATATATAATCTAACATAAATTTATTAATGAGTTGGCATAGATGGGTATGCCTCACATGCATGACAATTATGAGAATGTTTTGGAGAGGTATAGTTGATCATGGCTCATGGCGAGCAGGTGAAACTAGAGGGATATGTCTTGTTACAATGGTTGAGTAGGAGGGTCAGGTCGACAGGAATGTCGACGTCGATGAAGCCAAGGAGGTTGGCCTTGATGGCAGTGCAAACACAGACAGCGGCATCTAGATCAGCCAACCCACTAAGCAGTGGGCAACATTGCTCGGTCTCCGGCACGTTGATCCGGAGCTTGAGTAGCAACAATACATTGCTGCACACAATTATCTTTAGTGGGTTGATTGGGCAGGAACCACCATTCGATGGTGTCGGTGCAATAGGTGGGGTAGGCACCAAAGGTGGTGTAGGAACCATTGGAGGGTTACCATGCACAATAGCAATGAGACCAAGGTTGAGGGCAAGGAAGAGAGCAACTTTTGTTAGCGCCATTACTTAAGATTTGAAGCAAGCTAGCTGGTGGTTTCTTTGGTATTTGTGTTGTTTGAGATGTTTCTGTTTGGTGGTACTTATAGCTAGAAAAAATTGAGTGGGTTATTTACATTCCCCAATATGTCAAGCAATCATTGATGACTCATAATTATATACCATACATACCTTATATTTGGTAGTAAATTATCATGTGTTCTCGAGGACGAATACAATATTTACACACTTCTTTGTTTTGTTAAATCTATTTAATTCAGATGTTATAAATAGGAAGCATCTTATTACTTCCTATTATATTTATATAAAGAAGGAAAGTTGTAATTGTTGGAATTATGCCCTAGAGTCACTAATTTGTACTATTATATTTCCATGTTCATTATCAAGTTTATATTTTTGTGTTATAAGTGTATTAGTTCTTGGATATGAGATTCATAGAAAAAACCGAAATACATGCGTGGAAACATAAACACCAATGTGATCCCTAGTCATGCCTCTAAGACTAGCTCATGTATTGATGATGATCTTGTTTTCCTGATCTTGAGCATTGTTATTATAACAAGGATGCTATCAGTAATGAGATACATTGTTACCGAAATATCCTCAATGGCACAAGCTCCATCACAATAACTTAGATTACACAACATGATGCACTTGTGTCACACACACACACACAAACATAACTTGAAAGCTAAGTATGTACAATCTAAACATAAATTTATTAATGAGTTGGCATAGATGGGTATGCCTCACATACATGACAGTTAGAGCATCTACACCCGGATCCCCTGTGACGCCCCAAGACCGACGCTTCAGACGCCTTCCATGTTTTCCGAGTTTCGTCGTGTGAGTTGTTGGTTTGTTGCATTCCTCATTGCATCTTTTGCATTGCATCATGTCATCATGTCATTTAATTTTGTAGAACTCAACTAAATAAATTGCATGGATCTTCGGTCCATTTAAACCGAGGGAATTAACATGGTGATTCTCTTTACAAGATATCCTCCCAATATTAGGGAGCTATAATAAATATTCCATTCTTTTGGAATTAACCATAACACACTTGCAAATATTCCCCATGTCTTTTCTGCTTCAAGTTTGCTCCTCAAACTTTGCCCATAATTTATTTCATCGCTTTCCTGATCTCCACAAAAATTCCGAACATTTTTGGACTCTCCAAAAAAATGTTTTCCTAATTCAAACTTATTTGAATCACATTCAAATATGTTCGAATGCAATCCTGCCAAGCGGTGCCAAATGCATTTTCTTGGAACGAGCTCAATTTTGTGAATCCAGAAATTTAATCCAAATGTCCAAATCATTTATCCATCAATTTCTTCTCTCTCCTTTCTTTCTTTGTTTTTTCTATTATTGCAATAATTTTAGACGAGAGAGAGAGAGAGAGAGCAGTCAGCCAGGCCGGTCCATCCTTCCCCCGCAGCCAAAGTGGCCCAAGGCCCAGCCGCCGGCCTCCCTAGCCTAGTAGTCTACCTCTCTAGTGGGTCGGCCCATTCCACCGGCCCACCTAAACTTAACCCTAGTCGTTCAGCTCCCTCACCCCTCGCTCCCTTCCCCCGGTCCATCTCACGCCGCCAGGGACAGAGCGCACGCGCTCGCGCCCGATCCCCATATCTCTCCCTCTCCTCGCTCGTGCACAGGGCCGCAGTGCCCTGCACCCATTCTCCAGCGCTCGATGCCCATGGCTGCCTCGCGCGAGTCCCACCTGCGCCTCGCTCCCTCTCCCCGTCACTCTTGCATGTTTCGCACATCGGAATGTTGTCATGGCATCATTTCCGTTGTTGTTGTCGTGGCACCCCTTTCGTTTCCGTCATGATGACAAATGCTTCATAACATGCACTTATCAACATTTTCATAAAAAAATGTTTAAAAACTTGCACATGTCATCCGCATCATGATAACAACATTTAAAATGTTTAAAATTGTTGTTGCATTAAATTACTAATGCACATGAGGATTTACTGATTGTTGTTTGATGTTTCCGGCCTCATTTAAAATACCAACTATGTATTTTTTTACTCATGTTTCACCTCTTTCCATGTTATGAACATTTAATATTGTTGGGTACTGCTACGTCTTGAGCTTGCATTGGTTTTCCCCGAAGAGGAAGGGATGATGCAGCAGAGTAGCGTAAGTATTTCCCTCAATTTTTGAGAACCAAGGTATCAATCCAGTAGGAGGCCACGCTCAAGTCCCTCATACCTGCACAAAACGATAGCTACTCGCAACCAACGCGATTAGGGGTTGTCAATCCCTTCAGGCCACTTACGAGAGTGAGATCTGATAGATATAATATTTTTGGTATTTTTGGTATAAAGATGCAAAGTAAAAAGTAAAGGCAAAGTAAAAGGAAAAACAAGATTAAAGTGATGGAGATTGATATGATGAGAATAGACCCGGGGGCATAGGTTTCACTAGTGGCTTCTCTCAAGAGCATAAGTATTCTACGGTGGATGAACAAATTACTGTTGAGCAATTGACAGAATTGAGCATAGTTATGAGAATATCTAGGCATGATCATGTATATAGGCATCACGTCCGTGACAAGTAGACCAAAACGATTCTGCATCTACTACTATTACTCCACTCATCGACCGCTATCCACCATGCATCTAGAGTATTAAGTTAAAAACAGAGTAACGCTTTAAGCAAGATGACATGATGTAGAGAGATAAATTCATGCAATATGAAATAAACCCCATCTTGTTATCCTCGATGGCAACGATGCAATACGTGCCTTGCTGCCCCTTCTGTCACTGGGAAAGGACACCGCAAGATCGAACCCAAAGCTAAGCACTTCTCCCATGGCAAGAACTACCAATCTAGTTGGCCAAACCAAACAGATAATTCGAAGAGACTTGCAAAAATAACCAATCATACATAAAAGAATTCAGAGAAGATTCAAATATTATTCATAGATAGACTTGATCATAAACCCACAATTCATCGGTCCCAACAAACACACCGCAAAAAGAAGATTACATCGAATAGATCTCCACAAGAGAGGGGGAGAACTTTGTATTGAGATTCAAAGAGAGAGAAGAAGCCATCTAGCTACTAACTATGGACCCGAAGGTTTGAGGTAAACTACTCACACTTCATAGGAGGGGCTAGGATGATGTAGAAGCCCTCCGTGATGACGGCCCTCTCCGGCGGAGCTCCGAAACAGGCCCCAAGATGGGATCTCGTGGATACAGAAAGTTGCGGCGGTGGAATTAGGTTTTTAGCTCCTGTTCTGATCGTTTGGGGGTACGTATGTATATATAGGAGGAAGGAGTACGTCGGTGGAGCACCGAGGGGCCCACGAGGCAGGGGGCGCGCCCTGGGGGGCGCCCCCCACCCTCGTGACCTCCTCTTTGACTCCTTGGAGTAGGGTCCAAGTCTCCTGGATCACGTTCGGTGAGAAAATCACGTTCCCGAAGATTTTATTCTGTTTGGACTCAATTTGATATTCTGTTTCTCCGAAACACTGAAATAGGCAAAAAAAACAGCAATTCTGGGCTGGGCCTCCGGTTAATAGGTTAGTCCAAAAAATAATATAAAATTGGAAAATAAAGCCCAATATAGTCCGAAACAGTAGATAATATAGCATGGAGCAATCAAAAATTATAGATACGTTGGAGACGTATCAGGCATCCCCAAGCTTAATTCCTGCTCATCCTCGAGTAGGTAAATGATAAAAAGAGAATTTTTGATGCGGAGTGCTACTTGGCATAATTTCAATGCAAATCTTCTTAATTGTGATATGAATATTCAGATTCGAAAGATTCAAGACAAAAGTTTATATTGACATAAAAATAATAATACTTCAAGCATACTAACAAAGCAATTATGTCTTCTCAAAATAACATGGCCAAAGAAAGTTATCCCTACAAAATCATATAGTCTGGATATGCTCTATCTTCACCACACAAAGTATTTAAATCATGCACAACCCCGATGACAAGCCAAGCAATTGTTTCATACTCTAACTTTTTCAAAACTTTTTCAATCTTCACGCAATACATGAGCGTGAGCCATGGATATAGCACTATAGGTGGAAGAGAATGGTGGTTGTGGAGAAGACAAAAAGGATAATATAGTCTCACATCAACTAGGCGTATCAACGGGCTATGGAGATGCCCATCAATAGATATCAATGTAAGTGAGTAGGGATTGCCATGCAACGGATGCACTAGAGCTATAAGTATATGAAAGCTCAAAAAGAAACTAAGTGGGTGTGCATCCAACTTGCTTGCTCATGAAGACCTAGGGCAATTTGAGGAAGCCCATCATTGGAATATACAAGCCAAGTTCTATAATGTAAAATTCCCACTAGTATATGAAAGTGATAACATGAGAGACTCTCTACTATGAAGATCATGTTGCTACTTTGAAGCACAAGTGTGGTAAAAGGATAGTAACATTGTCCCTTCTCTCTTTTTCTCTCATTTTTTTATTTTTATTTGGGCCTTTTCTCCTCTCTTTTTTATGGCCTCTTTTTATTTGGGCTTCTTTGGCCTCTTTTTTTATTTATTTTATTTTTCGTCCGGAGTCTCATCCTGACTTATGGGGGAATCATGGTCTCCATCATTCTTTCCTCACTGGGACAATGCTCTAATAATGATGATCATCACACTTTTATTTTTCTTACAACTCAACAATCACAACTCAATACTTAGGACAAAATATGACTCTATATGAATGCCTCCGGCGGTGTACCGGGATATGCAATATGACAATGATGGAGTGTGTCATAATAAACGGAACGGTGGAAAGTTGCATGGCAATATATCTCAGAATGGCTATGGAAATGCCATAATAGGTAGGTATGGTGGCTGTTTTGAGGAAGGTCTATGGTAGGTGTATGATACCGGCGAAAAGTGCACGGTATTAGAGAGGCTAGCAAAGGTGGAAGGGTGAGAGTGCGTATAATCCATGGACTCAACATTAGTCATAAAGAACTCATATACTTATTGCAAAAATCTAGAAGTTATCAAAGCAAAGTA